ACATAGATATATCAGTATATAGTATATAGATACATATATATAGATAGTATATATACCTATTTACTATATCCATATCCATATCTGTATGTGATGATGTGTAAGAAAAAGGAGATGGGATTTACTGCAAAGTGGAGACATTGTCTCAGGCCTTAGACAGGAACATGGATATTCATCTAGGCCAGAATGATAGAGGGAAGGCAGAGTATGCTGGTAGATGGGTAGACATTGTAGAGAGAATTTAGAAGTCTCTTGCTTGCTTCAGTTTTCTCAGTGAAGTAGGAAATAAGGTTATCAGCTGAGGAGGACTATGGGAGAGGGTAATGAGTAGCAAGAAGACACTGTGACACATTGAAATAGGAAAAAAGAAGGGTGAATGGTCTAGGGGAGTATAGTATACATTTCTGGGCACCTTTGAGGGTCCCAGCATTAAGGTCATGATCATGAATTTAAAAGCAGATGAATTGGGGTTCCTGGGTGGCTCAGTCAGTTGGGCATCCAACTCTTGGTTTTGGCTTAGGTCATGATCTCACAGTTCATCAGTTCAAGCCCCACGTTGGGCACCATGCTGCCCGTGCAGAGCCTGCTTGGGATTCCCTCATTCTCCCTCCTTTTCTGCCTCTCCCCCACTCACACACATGTGCATGCTCTCTCTCAAAATAAATACATAAACTTAAAAAAATTAAAAATAATAAAGTCAAATGAATTGTTATTCTTAGGTGTTTTTCTCCACCCACATTCAGCAGCAAGGATATAGGCACAGAGTGGGGGAGATGTGGATTTAAGGAGACTTTGTGGTTTGACCAAGCACTGGCAATGCAAAAGAAGAACAAGGGAGTTTGAGGGTGTTTGCTAGGGTATTATTGTAATGAACGGTCGTGGAATTGCACCTAAGATGGAGACTAAAGTGAACAGCAGGGGATGAGGCAAGTTAAATATTAGCAAAATTAATGGATTGTACATTCTGTGGTGGTCAAAGGTTTGTTGGAGTTGGGTTGCTAGGAGTTAGGTGGAAAGATGGGATCTGGTGGTCAGAGAGCAAGATAGATAAGATGGCATTGGTAATGACCGTGTCTATGGTGTGATCTGGGAGTGTACAACTGAGGCAGGGTGGAGAACAAGGACATTGGAGGAGAGGTTAAGGTAGTCAGAGGGCAGCGTGCTGAGAAAATTACCCATGTTTGTATTAAATTTACCATGAAGCAGGACAGAAGTACCATTAGAGAGTGACCTTGTGCCAGGAACTAAAGTTACTGATAAATGGGGCACGTGGGTCCTGGAGTCTCAAGATAGCAGCAATGGTGAGAAGCAGTCAGTGATAAAGTCTGATGACATGAAATTCAAAGTTAAGATCTATGTGGAGAAATTAGTAGTAGATGATCCATTTTGGGATGTTCACATTCTGTGGTGGCTTCTCCTAGAACAAGCAATATCAGAGTGTGACATTCCCCAATGTAACCTCGAGGAAAATGTTTTCATGCTTTAACACAAGAGGGTGCCAGAGTCTTGCAAGGGATTATTTTTGCATTTCCTCCTGTCAAAGCCAGAACAACCTTAGTTACTTTTGAGAGTGAAAGGGAACAAAATTAATAATTATTTGGGGCACTACATGCAAAGTGGGACTTTCTTATGCAAACTGGGACATATGCTTACATTCTGCTCTGCACTATAAAAGCATGGGCAATTTAATTATGAGCTAAGTCTACACTAAGAGCTCTAATTCCAAAAATCGCTACAAATATTTTTGACACACATTAGAAAGACAAAAATGACCAAACTCACTTTTTATCTTGAAGAGATCAAGAAAGACTTTCCCTCCACCCCACTTTCCTAATGATATTTATTGCCTCTCTTATTTTTCCCTTCAGTGTATACAGGTTTGACTGTATCTTTTTGATTAATTGTTTTATATATTTGGGTGTTTCTGAATTCAGTGCATAGACATTTATAATTGTTAGCTCTTCCTGATGAATAGACCCTGTGATTATTATATAATGCCCTCCTTCAGCTCTTGTTACTGCCTTTACTTTAAAGTCCAGTTTGTCTGATATACATATGGCTACTCCAGCTTTCTTCTGACTTCCAGTAGCATGATAGATATTTCTCCATCCCCTCACTTTCAATCTGAAGGTGTCCTCAGGTCTAAAATGAGTCTTTTGTAGACAGCAAACAAATAGATGGGTCTTGTTTTTTGTTTGTTTGTTTGTTTTTAATCCATTCTGATACCCTAGATCTTTTGATTGGAGCATTTAGTCCATTTACATTCAGTGTTATTGTTGAAAAATATGGGTTTAGAGTCATTGTGTTCTCTGTAGGATTCATGCTTGTAGTGGTGTCTCTGGTACTTTGTGTTCCTTGCAACATTTCCCTCATAGAGTTCCCCTTAGGATCTCTTGTAGGGCTGGTTTAGTGGTGATGAATTCCTTCAATTTTTGTTTGTTTGGGAAAACCTTTATCTCTCCTTCTATTCTGAATGACAGGCTTGTTGGACAGAGGATTCTTGGCTGCATATTTTTTGTGTTCATCACATTGAAGATTTCCTACCATTCCTTTCTGGCCTGCCAAGTTTCAGTAGATAGGGTAGTAGTCTACTATTACCCTTCTGTGTCTACCTTTGTATGTAAAGGCCCTTTTATCCATAGCTGCTTTCAGAATTCAGAGAGAGAGGGAGCAGGCTCCAGACTTTGAACTGTCATTGTTTATTTCTTCTTTTAGACATGATTTAAATGCTGAAAACATTAAGAAATTGATACTGAAAATGGTTCTTCTTAAGGGCTCTGTTTATCACATTCTCCTTTCTTAATTAGACAAACTCTTCTTTATTCTTAGTAAGTTTTAAAAAAATGAACTCTTGTGTATGTTTTTCTATCTATCATCTATCTATGTATCTGTCTGTCTGTCTATCTACCTATCATCTATCTATCTATCTATCTATCTATCATCTCTAGCTGTCAGTAATGCAGTATTAACATTATGGGTCTTATTTCTACCATTCTTTTTGTTTTGGAGATGCACCCTCATCATCACTTAATGGGGCTTAATGTAAATAGTGATGTGGGAAACAAAGGCAGAAGGAAATGGCAGATAACATTGTTTCCTTATAACCTGTAGCCCATTGATAAACACTTGAGGCAGGTCGAATATAACATTTCTCCAGAACTCCCTACTGTCTTAATGCTTTGCTAGAGGGAAAAACAACCTTAGCTTGACAATAGCTAGGCCTCCAGGATCCTGTGAGTCTTTTTAGCATATGAAAGTCCTTTTGGAGACTTCCCCAAGTCTTTACCTCCCCCAACTCCCAAATACATAATCAGCCTCTCTTCACAATTCCTGGACAGCTCTTCCTGCCCACAGGTCCTCTCCCTGTGCTTTAATAAAATCACCTTTTTGCACCGAAGATGTCTGAAGAATTTTTTCTTGGCTATGGGCTCCAGACCCCCACTACCACTCCAACACTGCATCAGTAGCACAAGAAAATAAGTGGGAAAATAAGACTGCTGGGGAGAACACTTCAAAACCAACTACAAATGGGTTTTGTATAAACTACAATTTGCTTTGGTCTCCTCCAACACAAGAATATTGGATTATTTGCATCTTAACATGTAATCATATCTAATGTGATCAAAAGATATTTAATTGCCAATTCATATATGAATTAACCATGTTCTAAGCCTATTTGGGACACTCTCAAAGTAATACTCCCACAGAGAGAGCTTAGATTTTTTTTTTTAAGATGTGTTTTTAAATGTATATGAAGAGAGATTTACTACTAAGGCAAAAACATGAGAAACATGTTCAGTTCTATTAGAACCAGGTCAAAAAAAATCATTGACAGTTGAGGAGAGGGTGAATACCAGAAGGGGTTTCTGTTTGCGTATTCATTTTGTCTTTATGTTATCTTTGAGCAAGAAAAAACTCAGCAAATACCATATTCTCTTGAATCTAAAATTCATCATTTTATTATTATTCTATATGCCAACAATATAATCCCTGCTAATTAAACTGGGAAAAAAAGGTTTCTCCTTACTTAGAATTTTTTTTTCTACTTATTGAACTTTGATTAGAGGTGTTTAAAAATCATATGTTACTTTGTGCATGCCAAAAAAGGAAAATTTAAAAAAAAAACAAAATTAAGTGGTTGTTATTCCTAAAACTTCTTTACTTTTAGAGACTAACTCTTCTGAATCACTTTTGACTCAGTCATGGGTGTCTTTGGTTTTTCACACAACAGTGACCTCTATGCCTTCAAGAGAGTTGGAATAGGGGCACCTGGGTGGCTCAGTCAGTTAAGCATCCGACTTTGGCTTGGGTCATGATCTCATGGTTTGTGGGTTTGAGCCCCACATGGGGCTCTGTGCTGACAGCTTGGAGCCTGGAGCCTGCTTCAGATTCTGTGTCTTCCTCTCTCTCTGCCCCTCCCTTGCTTGTATGCTCTTCTCTCTCTCTCTTTCTCTCTCTCTCACAAGAAAAGAAAAGAAAGAAAGAAAAAAGAAAAAAAGAAAAAGAAAAAAAAGAGTGTTGGTATACAGCTACTTAAAATAATCCATAAAGGAATTAAAAGCCATTGTTGCTAGGCTGCTTAGCTGCTTTGCAGTTATATACAGCTGGCTAAACACTGCTAAATATATCAGCCCACCTTCTAAGAACCATAGGATTCCTAGAGGTAAAGAGTGGTCCACTTAAGTTTCAGAAATTTTCATCCAAGCTGTGATCCTGATATGTTGATGTTCAGGTCTGTACAAGCAATGATAACTATGTTATGAGTGCTGCCTGGCCAACAGTAATTGTAAGATACCCCTGATGAAAAAAGTGATCCTGATTTTAGGGATACTAAGATGGAAGAAAAAATGTGTATCTTAGAATCAACAAATATGCTAGATGACTTTTATTAAGGCTCAATTTAAATCTCTTGCTCCATCTTCCCCAGGAAGCATGAAATTTTTCAAACTGTTAAAGTGGAAATAAATATTGTAACAAGCGAAAGAAACTGAGTTAGAGGAGAGAGCTGGACGTCCGGCTTGGGAGCGGGCACCTTCGCTTCGCGCGCGACCAAAGAGCGATTTAAAAATGGGTGATGTTGAGAAAGGCAAGAAGATTTTTGTTCAGAAGTGTGCCCAGTGCCATACCGTGGAAAAGGGAGGCAAACACAAGACGGGGCCAAATCTCCATGGTTTATTTGGGCGAAAGACGGGTCAAGCCCCTGGATTTTCTTACACGGATGCCAACAAGAACAAAGGCATCACCTGGGGAGAGGAGACACTGATGGAGTATTTGGAGAATCCCAAGAAGTACATCCCAGGAACAAAAATGATCTTCGCTGGCATTAAGAAGGCAGGGGAAAGAGCAGACTTGATAGCTTATCTCAAAAAAGCTACTAACGAGTAATAGTTGGCTGTTGCCTTATTTATTACAAAACAAAAATGTCTCACGACTTTTTTATGTGTACCATATTTAAATTGATCTCATACACCAGAATTCAGATCATGAATGGCTGATAGAATATTTTGGACAGTTCTGATTTAAATGAGATTGGCTTGTGGTTAAATGAATATGATTGGCTTTTTGAACTTTGATAGTAATTCTGGTTCAGCAAGTGCTGTCACTGTTTTCCCCTTCAAAAAATATGATTGGAATTGATTAGATGTTAAGCTTTTCAGAGATGGTAAATGCCATGTCTAAACTTATATAGGAGATTGGTTTTATATTTAGATTTATATAACTGGTTATATTAATATATTTAAATACTGAGGAAATCCATTATATCAGAACAGCAAGACATCAGCTGTGTTTCAAGTTGTATTTGTTAGCCTGTTAAAGGCAAGGGCTGAAGATAAGCTGGCAACGTCCACTTTATCTTTTTAGTCTTAACTATGCCAATTTAATTAAAATTCCCTGCATTTAAATGTTGCCTTTTGCTTAATGAAAGGCATTTTAGTGTGGTTTATGTATAAAATTAAATAAAGAATATTAACACTTCTCAAAAAAAAAAAAAAAAAAAGAAACTGAGTTAGAAAAGGACAGAGAAATAGAACACTAATCAATGATTATGATCTCTAAACGTAAATGTCACCTCCCCTGTGAAGCTTCTACCCCTCACCTCTGCTCACTAGGAGGGAGGAGAGAGAGCATGGGCTCTAGGTTCTGTGAATTCCTAGCTGTTATTCCTGGGGAATTTACCAAATGTCTTTGATCCTCTGTTTCCTCACCTGTAAAATAGGAGTAACAATATTTACCTTTCCTAGTGTTTGTGAAGGTTAAGTGGGATTATATTTCAACAGAGCTTTCTATTTTTTTCCTTTGAACTACTGACCTTTTGTGTATCGTTCATGAGGCAAATATTTCACCTATATCTTTGCTTGTGTACTTTTATCTTTCTTTCTTTAGAATATAAACTCCCTGAGAATAAGAACTGCCTCAATCTACAATGTTTTGTATATTGTGGGTACCCAAATTAGATTTGCTGAGTTAGTGAATTAATATATCCCAGTATGCCCAAATAATTTTTTATATGTGATTACAAAACCACTGTGTAATCAAGACTATCATCAAAAACTCGATTTCAGGAACAAGACCCTCATGACTGATCCTGGGCTGGGTTTGCTGGCTTGTCTCTATGGCTTGTGCTTCAAGTGGGCCCTGGTGAGGGTATTGGTTCTCACATCTCCTATTTGCCTATCATCCTCCAATGTCTCAACCCTGTTGAAACTATCCAGCTCCTTCCCCTCCATCAATGACCTCCACCTCTGAATTCTAATGCCTTGTTTATTTGACTGTCTATAAGTGCAGTCTGCTGATGACCTCTCAGTTTATCACTCTTTACAGCTTGACCAGCCCCCTGTCCAAGCTCTGCCCTCTGACGCTATTGGCATCTTGTGTGAGTCCTATTTACTTTCTAGATGAAACAATCTGTTCTCAGTTATTTAGAAGCAGAAGAACCAGGAAACTGGAAATTGACAAGTGTCTTGATGCAGTAACTATGTCAAAACTGGAATTCAGCTTCAGTTAGCACATTTGAAGGGTGGGTATGGCAGAGAGAATGATATAGTATCTGGACTTCAGCATGACCTTCTAGTCTAGGTCTGAATCCTGGAGAAAGAAGACCTATGAGTGAAAGCTGATGGTCTGTTTTCAAAAGTGACATTTAAGATGTGGGTGTGATACATTAAGAAATATATATTATGTCTTTGTCTCTGGTTCCTGACAAGGATTCTAAAACTCTTGCAGTTTCTTAACTGATAAGAGTGATAGGAGCATTTTTGAGGGTTTCATAATAAGACTTTCATTCTTATCTGAGTTTGTGCTAATAAGATGACTCTTGGACGCCAAAAGAATTTCAGGATGGAGGCTGGCTACCAGAGAAACTTACTGTGTGGTTAGGGGGTTGGATCTTGTAGTCTCACCCTCCTCACCTGTAGGGGAGAAGAAAAAGGGCTAGAAATTGAGCGCGATCACCAACAACCAGTGGTTTACTCAGCCATGCCTACATAATGGAACCTGCATCAAAATCCCTAAGTGAGGAGGTGTGGAGGGTTTCAGGGTTGATGAACACATCTAGGTACTGAGAGGGCATGGAAGCTCAATGCCACTTCCTCCATTTGCCCTCTGCATCTCTTCTGGCTGGCTGTTCCTTAGTTGTATCCTTCATAACAAACTGGTAAGTGAATTGTTTTCCTGAGTTCTGTGAGCTGTCCTAGCAAATTATAAAACCTGAGGAGAGAATTGTGGGAACCCTTGATTAATAGATGGTTGGTCAAAAGTACATATGGTAACCTGGGACTTGCAACTGGCCTCTGTAGTGGGGGAAGTTTTGTGGGACTGACGTTTAACCTGTGTAAACTATGCTAATTGTTGGTAGTTGGTATCAGAATTGAATTTAATTGTGGGACACTCAGTTCCCATTTGAAGAGTTGGAAAATTGGTTGGTGTGAGGAAAAAAGACGCTGAATATTTAGTGTTAAGTGTTTTGAGTAACAAGTGATGTGTGATGTCTTCCTTCCACTTCTGTGGGTCGTACAGTGTTCTGGTGCAGTAGGGACTAAAGAAAATGAAGCCTTGTTGTGACACTTTCAGGATTCTCACTCGGATTTTGGAGCCACTGTTTTTGTGTTAGTCAGCTAAGGTGGTGAAGCACTACTATCAAATGTTTTGTGAACATCAGACATTGAGGGGTTCACAATAGGGGAATATTAGAAGATTTGTGTCAGAATGTGACCCCAGAAAATATTTGGAAGCTGGAAGTCCTGCATAATGGAGATAGGGGCATAAATGAGTGATATTCAAATAATCACCATTCATGTGTCATCATTTGTGCCCTAACACTGGTGCTTCTTGGTGAAATTTCAAATTATGACAATAGCCAAGAGTACACAGTCCAAGCAACATAGTTGATAAGCTTGGCTTGTCAGAATGCTGAAGCAGTTACTGAAGAGATGGTACATGGCTTTAGGGGCACACAGAAAGAATGAGGACTAGGACAAAGATTGTAAGAATCAGTAGTACCAGACTAATTATACTTCTTTCCAGTATAGTGGCTTTGCCTTGTTAAATTAAAGGAGTTTAATCTGGAGTATAATTTCCATAGATTATCAAAGAGACAACCCAGAAAACAGTAAATGATGTTAAAAATAAAATACAAAGCTATGGGGGCATTTTCTTCATAATATAGTTAACATTTATTTAAAATTACCGAAAAAAACAGTTGTAGTCAGTCATCAAATACAATCATTAATTAATGGTTTCTTTTCTAGAGGGTGCCTTCAGAAAGCCTTGACTTTGAGAATTGCTAGTAAAAATAGATGCATTTTCATTTCATGCTGGTGCATGCTCTTGAAAATTGCACCTGTATTTTTGACCAGGCCATGGGCCACTTAATAAGCTTAAATGAATATAACTCATTTACAAAATGATGACAGTTGGCATTCCTCTACAGCTTGAGACATGACATACTACATTATTTCTGTTTCCCACCTCTACCTTCTCCTGCCCAACACAGAGATTTTTCCCCCCACTCATTCCAATTAAGAGTAGATTTAAGGTTTTCTCTCTGTATAGCCCACACATATTCACCATTTAGTATTGAATATTTTTTATGGATGTTAAGGGAACCAGGCCGTACAAGGCAAACTCAGTTATTTTCTTAGGAATCAATTTTGGGTCCCTTTAGCACACTAAAGAGGGGGAAAATATTGATCAAGTCTACCTTGCCTTACCCCTATACATTGTTTCTCAGCGTGTGATTCAGAGATTACCTGCATCAGAATCAGATTCACCTGAAAGTATTTGTTTATAGATTTCTCTCTTTGTTGATGATTATTTATTTATTTATATTTTGAGAGAGATTCAGGGGAGAAAGCGAGCGCTCGCATGCACACAGGAGGGGGAGGGTCAGAGAGAAGGAGAGACAGAATCCCAAGCAGGCTCTACATCACCAGTGCAGAGCCTGATGTCGGTCTCAAACTCACAAATTGTGAGATCATGACATGAGATGAGATCAAGAGTCAGACGCTTAACAGACTGCATCACCTAGGCACCCCGTCTCTCTCACTCTCTCTTTTTTTAAAGCAATCTCTACAACATGGGGCTCGAATTAACAACTGCAAGATCAAGAGTTGCATGCTCTACCCACCGAGCCAGACAGGTGCCCTGTTTAAATCTAGATTCTGACTTATTATCTACTAAATAAGAATCATGTTTGGTGATGTGTGTGTTTCTTAAGAGTCTTAATTTTTCAAAAGCATCCCCAAGTGATTCTGATTTACCCTAAGCCCAACTGTTATGGTTTTATAATTAGTTGCATCAGTTTAAGTTTAGTTAGTGTGCCAGCAGTTATATTTAAGAATATGCCAAATGAGGGGCACCTGGGTGACCCAGTCAGTTAAGTGGCCAACTCTTGATTTCCACTCAAGTCATGATCTCATGGTTTGTGGGTTTGAGCCCTGCATCAGGCTCCATGCTAGCAATGCAGACCCTGTTTGGGATTTTCTCTCCCTCCTTCTCTGTCTGCCTCTTCCTTGCTCACTTTCTCTGTCTCTCAAAATAAAAAATAAACTTAAAAGGAAAAGAATATTATATTAAAAAAATCTCCCCAAAGAGGCAAAGAGCACAGTGTAGAATTTGACCCAGCAGTTTTTTTCTTCCAAGCAGGCTGTGTTAACTGCTAGGATCATAGAAACAGGTCTATAATGCTCTGTTTTAACTTATAATTTTTTTTATTTTAACTTATAAAATATTTCAGCTTGCTAATGAAATTATAAGCTTCAAGAAATAGCAAAGTAAATAAATAATGAGTTATTGTTTATTAAAATGTCTACATATTAACTATTATTAGCCACTAGATGTAGATTATCCAGTTACTATACATAAATCAATTAATTTTTAAGTATGCCCAAGATCACAATTTTAATTTTAAAATATTTGATATTGGGAATTCTTCCTGATAACAGTAGATAGCAAGACTATATATTGAAACCACTCAAAACAATAAAACTGTCTTTTCTTTAAGACAAAAAAAAGACCAAGTCAACAATTTGAAAAGAGTATATCTTAAAGAAATTGAATCAGTAATTAATAACTTTCCAAAACAAGTACA